GTAAGACTGGAGCTGGAGAGTGCTTTTGCTGGGTCACCGCGTGCTGAAGGGATGCTGCGTAACGACAACTTTCTGTTTGGAAGTGCAAGGGATCTTCATGATAAGCAATGTTTATCTTACAACTGAATGTGGTAGTAGGCTATGTGGTCAATGATGAGTGGAAAATGTTGATTTTTATGTTAGTTTTATTAATGTAATATATATTTAATAATAAAATTAGGCAACACTTTAGTTCAGGATCCAGTTCTAGCATGCCTATTTCTAGGATATTGGCTGTTTATTAGTACTTAAAAAGCACATATTAAAGCTTTATTCTGCATGAGCATATTCTACATCCCTAATTCTACCCAACACCTAAATGTAACTACCTTACTAACTATTAATAAGCTTTAATTAGGAGTTTATCGAAGCAAAAATAATAGTGAGAATTGTACCCTCTAAAGTGTTACCTAAAATTATTATAAATATTATTTTCAATTATTAATAATGAATCTAATTTTTCCTTTTGGTTTAAAGTCGATTTGGATAAGCTATATAAATTAATTTCTTTGAGTGACTGAGATAGAAGTGTTTATTCCCTAGAACGTTATAGGATGTCGAGATGTAGATTAAAGATTGTCATATGTGATGATTATAATTGCTAGATCTGTCTGAATGAGATGAGACTTTATTTCATAAGCCCCCAGTACCTGAGCGAACGAATGACCTTTCAATTATGAATCCATGTCATGCTGTTCTTCTGACCTGGAGATAACACTTTTGTACCGTCATAAAAGCCGCTTTAATATTGTCTGGTTGTGTCAAACAGGCAAATATGGTCAAATAAAACAGTCTTTGTTAACGTACCTAGAGAAAGCCATATTATTTGGTCTAAGAAACATCCTTGTATGTGTGGATTTTATGTGCCCTACATCTTCTTTACAACACTGTCGAACAGCAGAGCTTGTCGACCATAACAGTCTGATTTATGTTTGCCCTCTGTTGCCGTTTACCATTTAACAGGAAAATCTGACCCTCTTTATATTCACAAAAAGAACACTGGCTATTTATATACTGTATTGTCTCTATAGATACATTTGTTTTTATTGATCTGCACAGTGTAAGAATGAAAACAGACTCAAACGCAGTGCCTGAGGCTGCACTTCCTCAGCCTGATATTGTAAATCAGTGTTAGATTATTTCTTTGGACACTGTGGTCAGATTTAGTGCAACAGAAGGCAAGAAAACTGATGCTGTTATTAAAACGATCACCTGCATTGCCCTTGTCTGAGGAGCAACCTGGTTTCCTGTGAGCAAACAGCTATGTGATAACTTCCCATCCTGAATATAAAGGTTGAACTGGTCTATGATGTCAGAACTGTGGTAAACGTCAGGCAGTGCATGTGTGCTTATTAAAGACATAGAGGCATTGTGCAGGTTTGAATCCGGCCCGCGTCATGTCATGGTCATATTCCCCTTACTTTCCTGTTTGTTCTTCATTTGTAACACAATATAAAAGGAAAAAAGCCAAACCTGGACTATAGCAAAGTTCATTCGTCAAGGCACCTGGTGTGTCAAAGTGCGCCTCTAACGTTAGCATGTTCCTCGTAGTAGATGAAGCGTAAAACAAAGGGGTCAAGGTTTGTCATGGTCCCGTTAGTCCTGATAGACGCCATAATTACACACTCCGGACACTTCATTATACTGTTAATGTCTCCAGTTTAATACAATGTGTTAATTAAATTAAAATTACAGTATTACTTGTGTTATTATATTGATATTATTATTACTGTTATCATTATTAATGAGATAACTAACGGATAGCTTTCTCCATCTATTATTTTATTTTACAGCGTGGAATAAACAAGTCACATTAAAGTGAGTCTTTACAGTGATTGTGCTAGATAGCTTTCATATGCCTCAGTTTAGAGCTGTGATAGTCACAAATATATTGGGCTTTTTAAATGATACAACAGTAGATTAATTATTCATCGCTGGCTTACTTTATTGCCAGTCGTGCCGGCGGTGAGTCTGTTTTAGAGAAGCCTTGTGCTCCTGGTCATTTTGAAACGGTTGTAACCTCTATAATCCAGCATTTCAAAGCACCAAACGGGGTCATGTTGGCTTCCCGACCCTAAATGACTAAATAATACAGCTGACGCACAGTTTGAAAGAAGCTGTATGCTGACCGGCATTAAAAGCTCAGCTGTAGCCGCCAGCAAGTGTGCAGAAAAACTGATGAGTAAAAGAGAGATAGAGCTTGTGGTTGTGTAACAGAGGTCAGCGGCGATGACTCTGATGACATGAGCGTGAAACGGGTGCTATGGATCTTTAAAAAAAAAAAGCTTCATCATCAGGCTAATGAAGTGCGCTTTGGGAAGGTTGGGAGCCGAACTGATCCGACGAGGACGGTTGGGACGGCGTAGTCTGTCAATGCCCAGAGGTCCGGCTGAGCTTTCAAGCGTTCAATATCCGGTCGTTCATTAGTGAAATGACCCGGAGGCCCCGAAGTGAATTTTCTCTGTGATCCATCCAGCCCCGCCACAAATGCGAACTTGTTTTGAGGTTGCTTGTTTTTGTGTTTGTCGGATGACCGGCTAATGTAATATCAGGGTGTTGGCCTAGAGGCCGGGCAGCAGATCGTTTATTTCAGCATGAAATGGGGATTGAACCAGAACTGTTGTTATAGCACCTGCAAGCAAACAGGGTCAGAAACCTGGGTGTGTGGCGACTGATAAATCGTTTTTTTCCGAACCCCTGTTGCGGAGGAGGTCAGCACGCTTAGTCGGTGCATGTTTTCTGATGGGTTATTCATGAGTTTGTGTGTGTGTATATGTGTGTGTGGTGGATGATCAATACATTTTTTGATGGATTAACTTCTAAACACTTGTGAATTCCACTTATTTTGCTTGTGTCAGGGAAAACCAAGCTGCGGGTTGTTCTATGAGAAGCCTCACTGTTGATGGGAATTATACAACATGAGAGCGTGCGTGCGTGTTTGTGTGTGCGGCGCGTGTTATAAAGTAGATATCGTGATAGGAAGACTTATGAGAGTTAAGTGGGGGAGGAGAGACATCAGACTGTAGACACATTACACAGAGAACAGGTCGATCTTTCAAAGTGCTCACATAACCTCTTTACTAAACAGATTGTAAGAGAGGCAGTGTGTGTGTGTAAATTTATTGCTCAGAGGAAGTTATGTTTCATTTATGTATCAACTTTGTCTCTGATGTTTCTTCTTAAAATTCCTTAGGAGAAATTTAGAAAGGCATAAATGAGACATTAAGTAAGAGTAGAGCATTAAAATGAATTACGATAGCATCAGCTCAGATGTTTTGTTTTAGAGGAATTTGTGCATATTGAGACTTTTGATTGCACACTTTAGTATCTTGGCAAATATCAGAACTCAAATGCCATGGTCACACTAGACTTTGAGCACACAAAATTTATACGGACATTAAAACAGTCGCAATATGTCAAACTCTGCGATGTCTTTTCTTAAAACATTATTCATCATATAATACATCTAAAATTATGCAATCTACTCCACTTTACTGCCACGCTGCAATCCTGCAATTTATATTTTCATGGTCATGCCATGATGTAGGCCTACCAATCTTCTATTGGTCACTTTACGAGACACAAATTTGCAGAGTTCACCAAATGTGAATTTGGGAACGCATGAGGTGAAATTGGCTTGAGCTCGTATTCTGCACTATAGTGTTACCTTTTAATTGGAAAACTAATGATTGTGTTTTCGAATAGATTCTCAAACACTTCCCCCCTTCTGTGATTGGCCAGCCAAACGGGCAGCCCCGCCCTCGATCTACAACCATTGGTTAAGGCTGGGCAGGTTGTGGTGCTCAAATAAACAAAGCAAAGTTTTAATAGCTCAAAAGAGACACAACAGTGTGCACATTTTTAAAGGAATCGACCTACAAGTGGCTTACTTTTACATATTGTAATCCATTTTTAGTTTTTAGTAGTATATCCACCTGCATATAAAAATGGGAGAAAGTATTTAAATACTAAAAAAATACACATTTCAGCCAATTATATTATGTAAGTTTAGCATTTTTATATACTACTATAGTATTTATTAATATTTTAAATTATTTATATACAGTAAATATATATATATACTCAGTTTTCAGTCAGTTTAAGTTTTAGTAATTTTCTTATGTGCTTTTGTCATTTTCTTTTTTTTTTTTAATATATTTCTATTTAGCTTTAATTCATTTAAATTTTTTCGTCAACTTCAACTTATTTTATTTTGTTTAATTGCTTTTTTTCTCCCCAAAAAGTGTTCAGTTTTAAGGACACTTAAGTCACATGTCAAAATGAACGAATTACTTGCATTATCTAGCAAAATATCAAACAAAGTCACATTTATTAAAGAAAAATATCACAAGCACACTTCTCAAGTAAAATATTTCCCACAAAGTATTACAATAGGTTTAAAATGTTAAAACTATATTTTTTAAAATAAATAGTTCCAGTCCTTGATTATCAGTTGAGCCGCGTTCGAAACCATTGTAAATGACTACACAAACATACACCTGTGACCGCATTACATCAGTATTACTGCGCCACTGCGTCTGTGTGTTGCTTGAAACATTTTTAAGTGTGGCCTACATGTTCAAATATGTTTTGAGGCCACTGTAAACTAAAATCTCTCACAGTAGGCCGTGGTTCATCAGCTCAAGCTTTGAAATTCTCCAAGCCAGGTGTTTGTGCATTCACACACATACTCACACACACACACACTTTGTCTTTGTCCGACTCCTGCATCAGTTTCCTTTCTAAAGAGGTGGATGCATTAGTCTTCCGTCCACTCTTTCAGCGAGAGAGACGAGAAACCACAGCAGCACAAATCCTGCTTTGTGTTCTCCAGACGGAGGGCAGGTCAGCTGATTCAGATCTGTGAAGAGACTCCAGGAAGAAAGAACGAGAGGGAGGAGAGAGAGAGAGAGAGAGAGAGAGAGAGAGAGAGAGAGAGAGACTCCTCAATGCATGTTACC